CTGGGAATGCTTCTGCACTGTGTCCTCAACAGGCAGGCTCAGCACCTGTGGCGGTGTTTAATGCACGGAACCTAATTTAATTAGCACCCTGCCTCTGGGCCAGCCTGCTGTGGGGTCTTGGATCTCTGGCTCAGAAAGAAATGTGTAACCCTTGCTCTTTTCATTTCTAGTTAGCCTCATAAAGGGTGGATGTCTAAGGAGAGAGAGGAACTCTTCTTCCCCATCAAGCTCTGCACAGTGCTAATTGAGCTGACAGTCTTGGACCACTGTCTGTGATTGCCTCAGCTGACTAGAGCAGAGACCCGGGGAAGGGATTGTAAATGTCAGATGGCTCATGTTTGCCCTCATGGCTCTTGAGTTGATCAGGGGAGCTATCTAGTCTGCACGCTTGAGTAATGCAAGTAGCAGACAAGTAGGGAGAAATAAAGTATTCAAATCCCAGTGGGAAAGCCTGCACCAGATCCCTGCTTTCCCTCCCAGCGCTAATGAGGAGAGGAAAGGTGAAAGTGCCTGGCTGCCCAAGTGTGGGCTTTGCCTCCTGACTTTGTTCCTGCTTATCATGCTCAGGGGCTTGTTTCTGTCAGTCATTTCTCTCTTGTTCGGCCTAGAAAACAACAAGGCATGCTTTAAGATTATTCCAGCTGCAGCTCTTTTGTAGCTGTAACAGCGAAAATGAATTTCTTGTTTTACTTTATAAGAATGAGCCACAGCAATTAGGAAGGATGTATTTTTCTGGTCTCTGAAACTTCTCCTGTGCTCATCCCCCAATTTTCCGTGGGGCTTTAGAAAGGCAACCATGTTCACTTTTGCCCCAGCTCTGATTGTGAGTGAGAGCTCGCTCTGCCTTTCTCTCCATCACAGGGATGGAGAGATGGCTCAGTGAGAAAAGCAGGTATCACATGAGTTCAATCCCCAGGATCCACACATATTTAATTCCACGGTGCCTGTGGGAAGACGGAAGGCTGAGACAGGAGACTCCTCGGAAGTATGCTGGTCAGCTAGCCCCACGTGTGCAGGGAAAGCAACCAGGGGGATGATGCAGACTGATGTACACAAGGTTGTTCTCTGACCTCCACCCTCATGGCATGGCATGTGTGCCCTTGTGCTCACATATACAAATGTGTTTCACACATGACCTGAAACTGGGCTCTATTCTAGTGGAACTGAATTCACAGCTTTGCCTTTCTGAACATGAATTCTGAGCTTAGAAAAAAATTACTCTTTCCAGGAATGTGTAGAAAATGAACTCGACAACACATTTAAACCACGGAGATACGTTTCTGCTATCTCGCAGGCATCTGTCTAGCGGACATGTGCTTTCTTTTTGCTTACCATCCTTCCCCATGGGGAATTCTTTGTTTCCTGTGTTTGGAAATGACTGGAATCTTTTCTGATATTATGTCAGGTCTAGAATCACTCATTACTACTCAAGGGGGACTAGACATTGGTTAAGTTTGCCTTAGAGATGTCAGTTTTGCAGCTCACTCTTTATGATGAAAGGGTATTTTTAGAGACATTGATAGTTTTGCTACTGAGAGGAGACAATCTCTTCCTTTCTCATGCTTGCCTTGAGTTCCTCTGCGTTTAGACAGAGAACAACAGAAAGAGATGAAGGCATATGCTAGTATGTTCTCAGAACTAACCACATTCTCTGTTAATTGGAATCCTTACAGGAACCCTGAAGAGTAAATGTTAGTATTGGTAGGCTGAAGAGGTTTAGAAAAGGCTCGCCCATGATCACACACCTACTGCAAGAGAGCCAGGTGACTCTAGAGCTGGTTCTTATTGCTTAAGGGGGAGGAAGAGAGACTGAGGGAGAAACTAAGGAAGAAGTGGAGAGGAAAGAGAAAAATAGAAGGGAGAAAAAGAGGAGGAAATGAGAGGGAGAGAAGGAAAGAGAAAAGCAGGAAAGGGAGGACAGGAAAGAAGGGAAGAGTTAAGAGGAAACCGAGAAATCCTTGATTTGAGATGCATTGTCTAGTGCTAGCCTTCATTCTTATAAACAGCCCCACTTTTCTCTTTCCTAGGGAAATGTCAGCTTTGGAAATAATTTAACCCAAATATTCAAGCTGTTGAAATGGCTCTCCGTGTTGCTGCTGTAATATGGCTCACAATTATAATTAATGAAACATCTTCAGAGTAAGCTCAGTGCTGTATGCACATGGAAAAATATCTAATGTGCTAAGCATATGGAAACATGAACTCAGAAGTCCATTTTTTTACAAGCAGAAAGGGGAAGCAATTAGTGAGACATTTTTCAGCAAGAAGGAAAAAAAAAAACACCTGAAAAATCTTGTGTTTTTGAGACATGCTTTAAGATGAGCTTCAGGCCCCATTAAGGGTGTGGTAATGAAGAGGGTTTGTGAGCCACAGGGTGACTCTGTGGAAAGGTTTTTCCTTTTTCAGGAATCAAGATGCATTAGCCTCATTATTTGCAGATACTTGACAAGACAAGAGCAGAGGGAAGCAGGGACATAAGGGAAGGCAGTGAGGGGAAGGAGAAGGCCCAGGGGAGACCAGAAAGAGAGCTGAGTCTTTTCCAGAAAATCTCTTTCAAAAAGATGGGCATTTCAGAAGACAATACCCCTCACCTGGGCTGTGACCTCTCCAGTGCGAACCAATAAGGCATTCCTCTGCCTACTTAGTCTCTCAGGTCATTCCAACGCTGTCCATGGTACTGATCACACATGCTTGTCGTTCCACATGCGGTTTTAAAACCAACCTCCCCTGTCCACAATATTCCATTCAGTTTCATCTATTAAAGACTAGGCCCTAGACTAGCTTGGGCTGGATCCTGACATGCTGCCTAGAATAGTCCACCCAAGGTAACAAGGAAGGGCTTGTGGACACAGCTGCTTCCTAGCTAGGACCCATCTTCTCTCCTGCATTTTCGTCAGGGTTCATGCCTGAGCAGCCATCTTTGCTTCCTTGGCTGTGTTCTTTAAACGTCTCTTGAGAACATGTCCGATGGGATTCAGTACCTGTCAATCTGGAATAATTGAGTAGGAGAATGGAAAGGACAATCACTTAAAAGGGTGTGCCAGGGTTTTAATTTATACCTTTGGACCCGCACTGCCAATTGGGGCTCATGGGGACTAGAGATTTTGCTACCATAGGTGATAAAAGATAGTCCAAAGGACTTTAGAGGTGGGACTTCTGTTTTCTTGATGGGAATTGTTCTCTAGAAATATAATTTCAAACAGCAGTAAGAGAGCAGAGCCTACTGAGACATCCATGGGTCAAGCTGCACATCTATGCAAAGGAACTTTGTCTGAGTCCACATTAGCTCAGAAGGAGATGTTCCTGAGAGATACTCCTCAGGGGTAGCTTTCAGTCTCCAACTTGTTCTCTCTGACTTTTGAACAGGGATGATTATGTCATCCAGGGCACATTGAGAAATATATAGAGACATATTGTTTTTTAAATAGGGTCTTAGTGTATTGTCCAAACTAGCCTTGAACTCACAATCCTCCTGTCTCTTTACCCAACCCCTGCATGTGTGCTGGTATTTACAAATGTATGGTCACTACTTGGAGACAGTTTTGAATTTCATGATTTGAAATAGGTGTATCAGCTGGTGGTTCCCAAGAGAAACACAGCCAGTGGGAGATAGGAGATAGACATATAAGTAGATAGATTACAGAGGATTGACAGATGGACAGACAGATGATAGTTGTATAGATAAATAGATATCTAGATGATAGATTATTGACAGATGAGTAAATAGAGACTGGATGATAGTTGAATAGATTGATGATAGGTTATTGATAAATGATGGATTATATTTATCCTTTAGTATTGAAGGTATACATATATATATATTTCACACATATATACATTTGTACATATATGTATGAAATGTATGTATTTATGTCTTATAATGGCAGAAGTTGAAAAGCCCCAGGATTTGCTAACTTGTTGGTAGGGAATTGCTAGTAATGAAAATCAAAGGCCTGAGAGCTTGAGAGCCCAGGGTTCAGGTTCCAGTGTGGGTCTATGACACTGGGCACCAGGGCTAAAGGTTCCCTCCCTCACTGTCTGCTCTGTTCAGGTCCTGGTGGACTGCACTGTGCTAACTCCCATCTGGGGCAAGCCACCTTGTAGTACACTTCGGATGCTGTTCCTTCTGGATCACCTTCACAGACAAGCCTAGAGTCAGTGTTTAACTAGGCATCTGCATGTCCTATGCTTCAGTCAAATTGACACAAGGAATTAACTCTCACGGGAGGTATTCTGGCTTAATAGCAAACTGTAAGCATGCGGCAGTGGCCAGGACAGCACCCAACAGAGAATTATACTGTCCAGAAACAGTGGAAAGCTTGAAACACCTTGATTTAGAATATGCCAAATTTTTCTTGGCCAATTTCATTTCTCTTGCTGTGTTCAAAAGCAGTAATTACTGTTGGAATTTCAACATTTCCTGTGTCATGTGTCCTAGTCTCCCTTCTCAGTGGCAGAGCATCTTTATCTGGTCGAACCATTCCTGACATTCAGGGTTGAACCATGGCATGGAGGGCTGATCTCTCACTTCTTTTATTTTTAAACATTCGTTTTATTTATTTATTGAGTGTGTGAATATGTGTATGCACATGCCATAGCTTGGACATGGAGTTCAAAGAACAGCTCACAGGAATGGGTTCTCCCTTCTGACACTTGGCTCCTGGGCTCAATGCACATTTTTGGGCTTGGCCAAACTGCATTTATCCACTAGGCCACCTCGCTATCCCAGATCTTACAACATCATCTGTATGAAATCCTTCACTTCCTGTCTGTATGAAATTCTAGCTTGACCTTAGTGTGTCGATTTCATAAGTAATGCCATTAATGACATCTTGCTAGGAAATAACACTAATGGGTTGCTCAGGTAAAGCCCAGACAGTTGGTAAGATGCATGAAGGAAGCTAGATGACCACACACTTTATGTTTCTGTGCTTTTACCAGTCTGTCTGAAAGGAGATACATCCAGTGAAAGCCCTGTTGGAATAAAACACACTTCTGAATGAATGTTCTGGAACACCAAAAAGTCTTTAATCACAGAATGAATACCAGAAGTAATATCATGAGATAAGGCAATCAACAACATTGTAAGAAATCTAATTGGAGATACTCAAACACAAGCCCGCATAGTTTAGTCTAAGAGTACATAAGGATCAGAACCAAACCAGGCATCTGCACGGATTAACCCCATCCCTAAGCGACTGAGGCACTTTGTGTGTCAAGCGAAGAACAATTCTTCATGCACAGTCCATGTTTGCTCTCCAGCACGTCATGCTCGGTGCAACTCAAAGCCCACCCTGGAGAAGGGAGCCAAGTGAAAGCGGAGTAAACAAGGCAATGTGAACAGCCCTCAGAGGGCAGAGCACTATAATTGGAAGTGAGCTTGCCATGGATAGAATCACTGCTGTCACTCTGTGGGAAAATTCTCTTTAGGTGTACGTCAGACATGTCAGCTGCTGTCCTCAAAGCTGCCACTGTTCCGACGGGAGTGAAAGTGCATTGGGCTCATGGGATCAGACACATAGCCTGCATCAGAAAAGAATTCAGTGGTTACTTTTTGACCTTCTAGCACAGCCCCCTGCTTATATTAACTCGGTGAACTCCGTGCCATACATAGCTGCCAGACAATCCTTTGGGGTCCTGGGACCGAAGACTGGACCAGAGTCCCTGGTGTTGCTCAGATTTGAAAGTGGAGACATGGTGCTGACACCAGATGGACATTCATGGCAAGTGTCTGCTTTGAACACACTGGTTGGTAATTAATACTTTGGATTTACGGGGAAAGCAATACATGCTTTTGCAAGGGAGCCTGTCATGATGGCTAAGAGCACAGGTTTCATGCCAGGCAAATGTGTTTTAAGTAATGGTTCAATGATTACTGTCTTTGGGATATTTGTCAGCTTAAATCTTTCTAAGCATCAGCACCATCATCCCTAAATGGGAGAATGGTTAGTTCATCTTACAAGGCTGCTGTATGCAACTGATGATCGGCAGTCAATACCAGAGGAAGAAGCAAAGGATGACCTGAAAGGGAAGGTAGAGACAGTGCTTACGGAAAAAGAAGAACAGCCTGGAAATGTTTACTTGCTTGTCTCCCTAGATGCTCACCTTTTAAGTGCTCATCAAATGCCCAGGTCTGAAGACCAGTGACATTTGATGCCCTTTGAAGCATGAGCATCTCCAAGAATGGATCCAGTAGCTCTAGAGTGCAGCACTGGGCAAAAGAACTCACTGGGTCAGTGCAGGGTGCTGCTCCCTGTCCACACTGCTATAGGACCACCCCCTACTTCTGCAAAATGGGCAGTTGATCAATAGCTGCTGATGGTTTTGCCCCCATCAGTATCCCTGTTATCTGAGTCAATACGTTATTTTTAGGCCACATAGCCATATGCAGGAGTTTGGGCACATTCATGTTCAAAAGAAAGAGCTCTGTCAAAATCTCTTAGAAGGCATGCCGTAACAAACTCTTCTGCAAGCAAATGCTGCTGACATCGCTGTTTCTGAGCATGGGCCTGTCTCGCTCTCCTCTATCAGGATTGGCTCAGGTCAGGGCTGAGGGCCAGTGTGTATGCGTGTGCCTGTGTGTGCGTGTGTGTGTGTGTGTGTGTGTGTGTGTGTGTGTGTGTGTGTGTGTGTTTGTGCATGTGAGCCTGTGTGAGAGTGCATGTGTGTTGGGATGTGAAGTATGTTGGATGAGAGAAAGTCAACTCACATCATAAATCTAACTGTTGGTCAATAATGCAGAATAAACATTCTAGTATAAAAATATTTCTTTTGTCCAGCTGAAATATAACTTCACTCTGGGCACGGATAGAGCTTTACTCAGCCAATGATGCGTTACTGCTTTCTCATTTTCTAATGCTCCACACACAATTTCACTGGCTTTGGCTGTGGCAGCACCTCTCACCCCACTGATGCCAGAGAAAACCTGACAGTAAGTGTGAGTCCCACGGGGTGGGTGGGCTATGCTTCAGGAATGAGTGGCAAATCCAGCAGCCACTGAGGCTGGCATTTTAGTGATGTTCTGTGCCATGCAAGACAGACACACACGGCTGGAAAGCTGGGGAGTGGCTTAACCAGAATTTGACTGCACAGTGCAGGAAGAGGCTGAGCCGCATCTCTGTGTTTTATGACTCAAGTCTGACGTTAAGACTGGACAGCTGCATGTCCAGTTTCGCTTCCATGTTCTCCTTCTGCCTATTGAGGTTAAAAACAGCTCAACCTCCGGGTAGAAGGGGGAGAAGAGGGCTCCTGGAGGACAGGGCAGGTCCATGGCACTTGTCTTAGTTGGGGTTACTGTTGCTGTGATAAACACCGTGAACAAAAACAAGTTAGGGAGGAAAGGATTTATTTGGCTTACACTTCCAAAAGGCTGTTAATCATCAAAGGAAGTCAGGACAGGAGCCAAAACAGGGCAGGGACCTGGAGGCAGGAGGGGATGCGGAGGGCATGGGGGAGTGCTGCCTACTGGCTTGCTCATCATGCCTTGTTCAGCTTGTTTTCTTTTAGAACCTAGGGCCACAAGCCTAGGACATCTACCCACAGTGGGCTAGTCCCTCCCCCATTAATCACTAACTTAAAAAATGCCTATAGGTTTGTCTGCCTACAGTTGGATCTTAGAGAGGCATTTTCTCAATTAGGCTCCTCCCTCTCCAATGACTCTAGCTTGTGTCAGGCTGACATAAGGCTAGCCAGCACAGCACTCAACTCCCAGTAGCTGTGGTAACACATAAAGGTTTGCATGAGATCAAGCCAGTCAATACTACAGCACAGGTGGAGATTGGTACACAAGTCTACACTCCAAGCTGAGGAATATTGGCAGTTGGTGGCTTCTGGTAGGTTGACCATGCTCCTCTAGTGGATGACCCTTCACCCATGCACAAATGGGTAGCACTAAATGGATTTAGAGGGTTATTTAAAAACAATAGCTGAAGTCAGGAGAGGGATGTATGTGTGATGGGGGGACCAGAGTTGTTATACAGGAAGAGTGGGGGAGTAAATATGATCACAGTGCATTACATTTGAAATTTTCAAGACTATATTTAAAATACCTTAACAAATAACTAAAAAAAGAAAGCTCATGAGGTTGTTGCTGTGGGAAATGAAAGTACAGCCAGGCTAGGAACAGTTGCCTGGCTGGGAAATGGAGGATTGCTGTGATTTTGAGGGTAACCTCAGCTACATGGAGAGATACTATTTCAAAGAAGCAAATGGAAATAAAAGAAAAGAAAGAGTAATTTAAGCTGTGCAAATTGCTATTCTTAGGGGGGAAGTACAAAATGAATGCATCATATCTGTAGGAATTATCACTCCATCCAAACACCCTAATGTTTTCTTTTGGCTCTGGTACAGAGATGTTCAGGAAAATTAGACATTTATACTATTATCCAACCCCCATTTCCTATTCTTCATCTTGGGTAATTCTCTGAGTGCTATTTCTTTAAGAAGAAATCCTTAAGGGGCTGGGGAGATTGCTCAGCCATTAAGAGTGCTGGCTACTCTTGCAGAAGATGCAAGTTTGAGTCCCAGTATCAACATGGCAGTTCACAACATCTGAAACTCCAATTCCAGGGGATCTAATGCCCTCGTCTGACCTTCATGGCATCAACATGCACATAGTAACATAGACATACATGCAAGCAAGACATTCACACATAAAATAAAAACAATCTAAAAAATTTAAAATTATAATTATTTTTAGGCTAAAGAGTAGCTTCATCCTGACTCTGCCATGGAAAGCTTTCCCACTAGGCCCCGAGCTCACAGGCTGCCCTGTATGTGGCTGAGAAGCCTTAAGAAAACACACTGGTATCTATTGAAAGATAAGATGCCGTGACACCTGGAGCACATTTGCCCTCTGGGGAATCCATTCCTGGACTGGCTGATTACTCAGTGCCACTGGTGCAGGAGCCCATCTGCATGCTAACACATGCAGGAGAAGAGAGCCCTTTCCTCTAAGGTTCTCAAGACAGCCAGAGTTCACTGCATCTCAGCAAGCGGAGAGTTTCCCTTTGTTCCTTCAAGGTTTTCCAATGCCTCGGGTAGCAGTTCTCTGAAGACAAGGTGCATGGATCCCATAATGTAGGGTCTCAAGCCACGAATATCAGAGAAGCCAGTTCCTTCTTCCTGAAACATAGCTCTAGAAACAAATCTGATCTGTTTAACTGACGTGTTCAGTCCTCCATGCAATCAAAGGAAGTGGTCATGAATAAATGGGCCATTGTGTTAATATTTAGATTAATATGGAGCCCTCAGACTTTAAGAGTGTAAAGGACAGCATGGCCCTAGTCCTAGCTGGTGGTAGTTAAAGTTAGATGATATGATATTTCTAGTAGGAAATATTAAATATATCATACTTATCTATAGGAATCCTCAATCTATTCAAACACTAATGAAGCTGATGGTAAAGGCTCCTGTATTTCCCTTGGCTTCTAGAGGCCAGCATCAAAGTTTATTAATTATTTTGTATGAATTTGTCATGGAGCAGTCCTGCGAGACAGACCCAGGTGGCTGTCCTGTGCCTCTGTGCTGGCTGTTTGCGGGAATAGATGGAGTGTTTAAACACTGTGGTGCTCAGCTCCCAGGGAAGAACTCTTGCAGGGAATGTGATTGTGGGAACTTGCCTTTCTTTTCTTCTTCCAGCACACAGTGAGGTGGCTCAGAGGCAGTGGGTCCAGGGCCGTGACAGCCAAGGGTTTGCAATGCCAGGTGAGCCAGAGATGATTTACATAAAAACCTTGCATCCTCTTAGAACTTCAGTACATACAAACTCATACACACTCACAATCTCTGGAACCTGTATATACTCCCACACAGACATATGTTCATATACATTCTGGGTATCCTTGCTTATACACATACATACCCTTGAACTTACATATACTCACACCCAACGTGTACATACTGACACTCTCATGTATGCACACTCACACATACATGTACACCCATGCTCACACACACTCATGTACACTTACACTCATGTAGAGTCTGGCATACTTTATTAAGCTTGAAGATAAATGAAGAGTTATAAAGACTTCAGTATCAGAGTTAGAATCTGTATAATATTTTTAAATTACCTATCATTTATTGTTGTTACAAATACAAAATTTTCTCCCTTGCTACCAAAATGAATGACAGTCACCTCCCTAGGAGTGATTTCCTTGATGTGTGCTACTTACCATATTTGTCAATGGTTGAGTCCTGGGTACTTCTGTTCATTTCCTCCAAAGACAGGCCTGGATTGGAGTGTGTCCCGACACTGGAAGATGAATGGGACACTGCTTTACATGGGGGTGCTGGGCTCATAAAATATCATCTAAAACAGAATTGAGTCAATCAGCAGAGGTCCCAAGGAATGTCAACGAGATGACTACATAGTTTGGTTTTATTTATATCTTGTTTGGCTTGAGCTTAGAACTGTTTGAGTAAGTTAGATCTAGGTATGAGTCTTGCCATCTTTCTTCCTCTAGGTTATAGCTGCCAGCAGCTTAGCCTTGGTACACACTATCTCTGAGCCTCAGTTTATGTATCTGCACACTAAGAGAAGACATTGGTATTTCTATCATCTTGTTTTAATGGCTGGATATAAACAAAAAGAATACTGAGTCTAGATGAAGCCAATACCGCAATCTTTACTTAAAAGCAGCTAAGGGTGTTAATGTCTAGTCTACATAACTGCAACACATCTTAAGCAGTTACAAAATGATAACTGTACAGATCTGTAGCATGAATCTTAAAAGGTCTTATTAATAAAAATCAAACCTGGAGCCAGTTATTGGGGTGAATACTGGAAGATCAGAGAAGCAGAACAAGCCACAGTCACCTCACCTCACCAATTCCTCAGCTGATCCTGTTTCCTCGGACTGGGAGCTTCTGAGTCCTCATCTCAATGAATCTCGGCTGAACTGCCGCTAAAAGTCTAAAAGCTCAACAGACTCTAGTTCCTGTTTTTTACACTTTATATACCTTTCTGCTTCCTGTCATCACTTCCTGGGATTAAAGGCATGAGTCACCATGCCTGGCTGTTTCCAGTGTGGCTTTGAACTCACAGAGATCCAGAGGGATTTCTTCCTTTGGAATGCTAGGATTAAAGGTGTGTGTGCCTCCATTTTCTGGCCTCTATATCTAGTGGCTGTTCTGTTCTCAGACCCCAGGTTAAGTTTATTAGGGTGCACAATATATTGGGGAACACAATACCACCACAGAGACCCATATTAGCACTTATGCCCAGCCTTTTAATTGCAGTCTGCATCAGTGTGGCACTGTATTCTCAGTTCACACTTAAGTAAACAGTGTCCCAGGAATGGGCCTTCAGAGGTCGGGTGTAACTCATCTAAAACTTGACATCTCAAAGCCGCACACTTACGTACTCCTCAGGAATGCATTTCCCCCAGTGTTCCCTGGTCCTCCTCCTTCTCCCAGTTTCTACTTCAGTTCGTTTAGGAGGTGACTTCCTACCCTGTCCTGATCTCATCACGTCTGCTTTGGTCTTTATTGTCCGCAGAGCGGCTGCCCTGGGAGCCCAGGATCCCCCTGGCCCTCTGACCCC